TATCCTGCAATATTTTGTGAAATGTCTTGCTCGATTGCGCTTGTGGCAGACGGGGCAAGCACCCTCATGATGATAGTTGCATCTTTCGCACTTAGGTTTAGGCCATCGGTATTGCACAGGTTCCTCTGTTTTAACCCCAAAGTTCCTTGCCCTTTTCTTGTTCTTATCTGAGTTATCATGACCAATATCCTGGCCCTCACTTTATCATTCGTAAGGCGGTGCGGCAGGTCTATAGCACTATGAATGGTGGTAGGATTTGCCGAAGTAACCATGCCTCGGATTTCTGGTGCTAAACCCTATATGTATCGGTCAATCCTCTTGCTCTCAGGGATGACCATGTGTGGCACTAGTTCAGCCAGCTCATGGAAACGCACAGTGTAGCCTTCCACATCGGCTCCTACCATGGCATTGTTCCAGAAGTCAGATTCCATTTTCTAGATCTCATCCTTACGACAATATTCCTTCCTGAGTAACTCTTTGAATTCCTCCCAAGTTAATTGGTTCGCTACCTCCCTTCCACGGTTTCAGACTTTTGCATTCCACCATGTTAAGGCTCTATCTTGGATAAGGCAAGCGACATAGGGAGCCTTGCAATCATTTGAGCATTTGTTGATGTGGAGTACGACCTCTATTCCTTCTATCCATTTCAGTAATCTCACTGCACTGTCTGTTCCATGAAACTCCTTGGGTTTGCACGACATGAAGTACTTATAGGTGCATCCCCTTGGGTGACAACCCGTTATTTTCGTCTTATAAATCAATCCAATTCCATCAAAAGTCGGACTTGAATCTGCTATTTGTTTACTGTGTTTAAGGCCAGTATGAGAGTCACTAAGCCTAGTACACTTAAGGATTGGGTGTTATGAAGTATTAGCTTGAGATCAGAAGGCTGTTCACGAACCAAAAAGTCCAACACTTGAGGTCCACGGCCGTGAACACACTTCTAGCCGTGAACTACCATCCATATATATGGAATTGCTTCATTTTTACTTTATTTCTCCAAACTCCAACCGTGAACTATCCATTCTCTCTCAAGTATCATCAAGTGAAGGCTCCAAAACGTAAGCATCTCATCCCTATTCTTGTTTATGCTTAGAAACCCAATTGTTCTAGCCTTGATTCATCATTGTTCATCATTGTTCTTCATCATCTTCAAGATCATCAAGGGTGTACGGCCATAAACCCTTCATGAGGGCCGTAAACCCCTCATGGGATCTTGGGCCGTAAATCCTCCCATGGCCATGAACTTCTATAGTTGGTCGTGAACTCCTTTCTTTCAATCACATGTGATTGTAACACTTTATTTCAAGTGTTTCCTAGCACCTAAGGTTGTTACCTTACATGATTAGTTGTTATATACACTAATTATACACATATATATGTCAATATATGCCAATTAGGATCCATTTGTGCTCGGGACTTAGCTTGGCATACCAAACATCCTATATCGTATTTCCAATCAAATCTCCAACATAAGGTGAATTCATACCCCTTTAATCTACCTTTTAAATGTTTTTACATGCTTTTAAGGGGGGGAATACAAGTTAAACACAATCTAAATTGTGTTAATAATTGTATGTGATATCAATCACACAAAGGAATGTCTTATGCTTTTAAGGACTACCAAATACTTCCAAAATGTCTTAAAGTCATGCTAAATCTTTAAAGTCATGTAAACTCTTTTTGAAATACTGTTAAAACTCTTTTAATACTATTAAACTCTTTGAAAAAGGTTTTATAAACTATTTCATATTATAATTGTCAAAATCATGTTCACATATGTATAAGTATATAAATAAGCCTTAAAGGGCTTAGGACTAATGAGTTGCCTGATCTCTTTTTTCTTGTTTGGATGTGGTTTAAGGTGAGGTTCTTTGTCTGAAGGTCGTTTCCTTCTTAATTATATACATTATACATATGGGAATATAAAAGGTTACTTCAGTCGGTATCATTACCTTTGTATCATGCTGAGCAAATGGATATATTCAGGAGAGATCATGCCAATCAGATAGAACGTATATGTAACATCCCGAAATTCAGGTAAAGCTATTTAACCCTTCTATTTTGTCAAGTTGTCAAGATTAGTCCCTTGAGTGAGTTCTTGTAGCAAATGAGTACGCTGGGCGTACTGGGAAGTACGCTGCGCGTACTCATGCGCTTAATTTTGACGCGGACCCGCCTGGGTACGCTGGGCGTACCCAGGGTTACGTTGGGCGTAACGGGTCCAGATGCAAACCCTAAATTTCTGGCTTGTGCACTATTTAAAGGATGCTAAGGCTCATTTCTCAGCCTCCATATCAGAGAGTGAAACCCTAAGAGAGCCTTCCATCGTCCTTAGCTTGAGTGTGTGTGTTTTGGAGCTAAAAGTGTCTTGGTGTGTTAGTGAAGAAGAAGGAGAGGAGCTTGTGGAGGCTAGGGCTTGAAGTACAAGTTTGGATCTGAGATCTTCAGAGAAAGGAGCTTCATATAGAGGTATAAAGTTCAAAACTTTCCTCTTTATTTGGTTTGATGTTGCATGGACCATTTCTAGGGTTAAAAGTCCCAAAGGTGGAGACTTTATGAGTGTAATGGACTCCATGGACCTAGATCTGTCCCATTTCAGTGATATTTGTGTTATAGATCCATAAAAATCCCAACTTGGTCGTTGTTATGATGTCATGCTTGAGTTAGGAGCTTTCTAGGGATTGGAAATGGAATGTTACGGGTGTTGGTCACTTGTCCAGCCATGCAAAGGCTTAAAGTCACCAACTTTATGGATTAAGAGGCTTAGAAATGGTCAGATCTAGAAGTTGGACGTGGGTATTAACTGTTTAAGACCTCAAGAGCTTAAGAGTCTGAAACTGGGAGTTACGCGGGGCGTAATCCCAGTACGCGCGGCGTAAGGGGTCGCGCACCCCGTTTCTGTGAGGACGCCGGGTACGCTCAGCGTACATGTTTGGTACGCGCAGCGTAACCCGGAGGGTTGACTTTTGTTGACTTTTAGGGTTTGGTCAACTTTAGGGTCTTTGAGCCATGAGAGGGGTAAAATGGTCTTTTACCCTTCTGAGAGTACCAAGAGAGGGAATAGTCTAGCCTTGAGAGATGTATTGATTAAGAGTATTTATTTCATATGATTAGGCAGAGGCTAGGCTAGATTTTACAGAGTTCGAGATTACCGAGTTTCCCGAGGTGAGTCTTCTCACTATACTTTACCTAGAGTGGTAATTAGAGTTATGTGACAGAGTATTTTGTATGCTTTTGCATAATGTGATTTCTATGTGATTTATGTTATGTATGTTACAGAGTTTACAGAGTTAGGACCAGAAGGTCCACAGAGTTAGGGCCAGAAGGGCCCACAGAGTTATGGGACTGGAGGGTCCCACTGAGACACATTGACCAGAGGGTCAACAGAGTTATAGCCTCAAGTGGCTAATATGTGTTGTGTGTGGTATTTTGGGGAACTCACTAAGCATTTATGCTTACAGTGTTGTGTTATGTGTTTCAGGTACCAGTAAGGATCGCGGGAAGGCGCCAGCTTGATCAGTACACACATGAGGAGCTTTTACATATTATGATCTTGGGATGTGATGTTATGAATTGATTATGTGATACAATGATATTTTTATAACAATTATGAATGAAAGCGTGTTTTTCATTTTGTGAAAAATTACTTGAAAATTTGGGTGTTACAGTATAAATTATAATAGGTATAATTTATGTTTCAAAAGTAAATATACAAGTATGATTCACAATTGTATACTTTACATTCCAAGTATATTGGGAAAGGAAAATACTAACAATTCATTTATTTACACCATGATACGTATAATACTTTTAGTATATGGATAATATATTAAAGAAGTAATAATACATCATACCGGGTTTGCACTAACAGGGGTACAAATACAACGTACCAGGGTTAGCAATTCACAGGGTAATAATACATCATATCGGATTTGCACTAACAGGGTATAAATACAACGTACCAGGGTTAGCAATCACGGGGTAATAATACATCATACCGGGTTTGCACTAACAGCGGTACAAATACAACGTACCAGTGTTAGCAATCACGGGGTAATAATATATCATTCCGGATTTGCACTAACAGGGGTACAAATACTACGTACCCGGGTTAGCAATCACGGGGTAATAATAACTCTTACTAGAAACAAACGAGAAATCTATTTTTCTAGATAAGTATATGAGGTCTAAACAACTTTATCACTTTTTAACCCTAATTAACCAGGTTAATATTAGGGTAGTTATTCACCAGTAGTTTATTCTTTTTAAGAAATACTACTATAATAATTACTTTCATAAATAATTGAACGGTTTTATGGGGATTTAAAACCACTCTAACTGAAAACATTCTTCTCATAATTTTATGGATAGTTAAAATTATGACAACCCTTATTATAAGTACAATGGAACGGTTTTATGGAATTAAAACTACTTATCAATTGTAAAGCAGAAAATACAGGATTTTCAGGAGGAACCAGCTAACTTATTTAAGAACTTGGAATATACTTCATATAACTAAAATACTTATGAACTCACCAGCTTAAATGCTCATCTACTCTTTCAAAATAACTTGTATTCTCAGGAGTCCAGTAGACAGGTACACTCTCAGAGCTTTTGAGAACACAGCCTAGTACCGTGTTGCGTCTTATGTCTTCTATCGTATCTACTTTGTTGTTTGAATATGTAATGTATAAACACTTATGTAAAACTTATACTTATTCATGCAATGGTTGTTTGTACTTTGATTACTATAATGCATGTGTTGTGATACTTACATGACGTCCTCTGCCCCCAAACGTTTCCGCCGTTCTGGTTTGGGGGTGTGACACCTTGTTTCCTCATTCTGAACCCCAATTCCATCGGTGTTCTCAGTAGGTGTACGGCCTTCACAGTTTGTCGGACTTGCGTTGACTCCTGTAGTGACTTGAGCCACAATGTTAGGGATAACAGCCATTAGTTGTTGTGAAACCAATTGAGAAATACCAAGAGTGGCATTCTCAGGCTGTGTTGGGCGTGAGCGGGTGTTTCTTCTTTGGGCCATCGTTCTATAATACACAAACAAAATTAACAATGTTTTAGAAAGAAAATAATATCAAGAAAATTTTCAAATCATCAAAACATTTTTGTTTTTTTAGCTCATGAACAACAATGGTAGAGTGAAATAACATGGTGATTGAAAACCATTAAGGTAAATTCCATTCGTAGTTCAAAAATAAAAGGTTTAACAAAGCGTATTGCTTGACACTGCAAGCTACAAAATGCGCTTCAATCATTTTTCCAAAAGCCATAAACCAAAGGCAATACATCATAATTCATAAAACAAAATCATAAAACTGAAACCATGACAATTAGAAATAACCCCAAAACACAATCACCCAGACAAGTGCCACTGCCAGAATCAATGCTAGCCCTCTCGTGATAGCACTAGTGATCATAGCTCTAATTTCCATCCTCCTGGCGGCGTATACATAACCACACATCGTATCCACCACCTCTGACATGTCAGTAATGTTATGATGATGATAACCAATCCGACTACGGGCGTCATGTAGGTTTTTGGCCATGGCTTCCATGTTGCGTCGCTCCTGATAAGTTATCCCGGGTGCGCGCATATAAGGCATCCCTATGACTGGGGGTCGAGGGTGGCTGGGCTCGGGATGCTCGTCCCATGGTTCAGGAGAGGCTGGCACAGGTTCTGGATGCTCAAACCTCAACACTTATCTCAGCATTGGTGTGCTCTTTCTTGCTGTCCTCCTGAGGCGTAGTCCATAAAGGGGCGGCTTGTTGGGTTTTATGTACTCTAACATTCCTATGGTGCACATACAACCCTAATTCTTTTGGATCTAAGTTTTCTCTAATTATACATGCAATATTCATATCCAAAGCATGAGGCCTAAACTAGCATACAAAATTTAACATATGAATCATAAAATTGGTTAGAAGTTACCTCTTTATGTAGCTAGTAAGACTTTGGCCTTGTGAGAACTTAGCACCCCAAGTGTTGTGCCTAAAACAAGTCACAAACACCAATAAACAACTAAATGGATATGAGAGAGGCTAAGGAGACTCAAAATCAACTTCTCCTCTTGGAATGCAAGTATTGGTCGATTTTAGGGCTTAGGATAACATATTTATATGTGTAGAAATCCAAGAGTCATGTGTAACCCTAATCCACACATATAGGCTTATGATCCATGCATTTGATTTGGACTAATACTTCATGGACTATCCATAAGCTTAACCCATCATAGATCAATTATGGATCATTAGCCCAATCCATATGTATCAATTTAATTAGTCTCTTTTGATCACTAAATTAATTCTTGATCAATACTAATTAAATAATATGAATCCTCAATTAATATATTATATTTATAATATATTAATAAATCATAAATAACCTCTTACTCAAATATCCATCTATCAAATTATTCTGGTGAAGGCAACCCGAAATGGACCATGCTACTATTGGGTCAAGTACATACCAATTATAGTTATGGGCTTAGACACCTAATCCAACAGTCTCCCACTTGGATAAGTCTAATAACTATAATTGCTAATGCAACAAAAAATCCGCTTGGAAATCATAGCTCTCAAAAAAGCCGTTGTCATACTCTGATGCGTCCATTAGATAAGTGATCATATAATCCTCTATTCTACAAGATATCGTGTGGACAAAGACATGGAATAAAGTCATACTTATTGTCCAACAGTTTGTTTCCCGATTTCTAATTTGTTTGACATAGAACTTAATTGAACACATCAATTATGTCCTGACCGGTCCCAACACATAAGTCAAAACAAAATCATCGAGGGGCCCAAGAGATCACTTTTTAATCCTCTTAGGATAAAATGAACAAATAAACCTCGACTTATATGCTTGTACTAATTACTCGTTAAATCATACACAACAGCACGTTTTATAATATCGAGTTACTGATGCGTTTTCGCACTATGAATGTACAACCAACTCATAATCAACAACTCATATATCTTAGTTTGAAGATTATAAAATATTATCATCTTACAATCACCCGTGATAAATTTGTGAGTGTGGATTTAATCTAATACTCAAATCTTATTTCAAGAGCACTCATGAATGTTTGTAGCAAACTTTGCTATGTCTAACACCTTAGACAATCTTAGAAACCCCATTCACGACAGTCTACTTTCATAACCTACTTCCAAAGTATGATCGACTGTGGATAGTTTGAATAATTATATTATTTTTGAAGTCAAAACATGCAAAATGAAACAATAGTAAATAATTGACACAAGATAGTAACTTTACTTATAAATAAAACTCTTTTTATTCAATCATCAAATGTCAATTACATTTTAGCCATTACAAGTTTCTAAAAAGCTATCTAATCATTAAAACTAATATCGTCCTTCAGCCCGATTCTCCTAGCGCGCTGCAAGTGCTTAACCCTACTCAGTCCCTTCGTAAGGGGATCTGTTGGGTTCTTTTCTGACGGTATCCCCTTCATCACGAAGAGTCCTTCTTCTATTTGATGTCTTATGAAGTGATATTTTCTGTCGATGTGCATGGATCTGCCATGATCCCTTGGTTCCTTGGCTAAGGCTACCGCAACCTCATTGTCACAGAAAATCTCCACAGGCTCCTTTACAGCTGGTACAACACCAAGGTGTCCAATGAAGTTCTTCATCCATATTGCCTCCTTTGTTGCTTCGCTTGCTGCTATATACTCTGATTCGCACGTTGAATCAGCAACAGTTTCCTGTTTGGAGCTTTTCCATGTTATTGCTCCTCCATTAACGGTAAATATCCAGCTCGACTAAGAGTGGAAATGATCTCTGTCGGTCTGAAAGATGGCGCCACTATACCCTGTCACTCTCAAGTCATCACTCCCACCGAGGGCAAGGACCCAGTCCTTAGTTCTCTGCAGGTACTTAAGAATGTTCTTTACCGCAGTCCAGTATGCTTTACCAGGATTCACTAGATATCTGCTAACCATGCTCAAAGCAAAGGCTACATCAGGGCGACTACACGTCATAGCATACATGATAGAACCAACAGCAGAAGCATATGGTATTCAACTCATTTATGCTATCTCAGACTCTGTACTCGGAGTCTGAGTCTTACTCAGTTTGGTATTTCTCTGGATAGGTAATTCAGCTTTCTTGGATTCCTATATGCTGAAACGCTTCAACACTTTGTCCAAGTAGGTAATTTGACTAAGTGTTATTACTCTTTTATTCTGGTTTCTCAATATCCTTATCCATAGAACATAAGCAGCTTCTCTGAGATCCTTCATAGCGAAACACTTCCTAAGCAAGGACTTTACCTCCTACAAGGTTGGGATGTCATTTCCTATGAGCAGTATGTTATCCACATATAACACGAGAAAGCTAACTATGCTCCCACTAGCTTTGACATATACACATGACTCATCCTCGCTTCTCGAAAATCCAAACTCTTTGACTTTCTCATCGAAACAAAGATTCCATCTGCGAGATTCTTGTTTCAATCCATAAATGGATTTCTCAAGCTTACACACTCTATTAGGGAACTTTGCATTGACAAAACCCTCTGGTTGACTCATGTAAACATCTTCATCCAACTTCCCATTAAGTAGAGCGGTTTTGGCATCCATTTTCAATATTTCATAATTATGAAATGCAACTATGGCTACCATAACCCTTATAGATTTAATTTTAGCCACTGGTGAGAAGGTCTCATCATAGTCAACTCCAGGAGTTTGAGTAAGGCCCTTCGCAACCAATCGCGCCTTATAAGTGTGTACTTTCCCATCCATGTCGGTCTTCTTCTTGAAGATCCATTTGCACCCGACTGTCTTACGGCCTGGTACATTGTCAACCAAGTTCCAAACTTGATTGTCATACATGGACTAAATCTCGCTGTCCATTGCCTCCTTCTATTTACCGGACTCGGGGTCTACCATGGCTTCCTTGTAGTTGTTAGGTTCATCCAACTTTACCAGTGCACTATCACTGATAAATGTATCACCCTCAGAAGTAATATGGAAACCATAAAACTCATGTCTCTGTCTAACTCTACTGGAACGCCTCAGATGTAAGGACTCGTCAATCGGTTCAACAGGAGTTTCCTCCTCGGGTTGATCGCTAGTGTTTCAGGTTCCTTAATCGCTTAACTCTTGAAGCTCTTCAAGGTCAATTTGCCTCCCACTGTCCTCTTGGCATATGAGTTCTCTCTCGCGAAAGACTCCTCTCCTCGCAACGAAGACAACATTGTCACTCGGTCTATAGAAGAGATATCCAAAGGATTTCTATGGGTAGCCGATGAAAATACATCGCTCACTTCGAGGTTCGAGCTTGTCGTGAGTTTCTTTTCTCACAAAAGCCTCGCAACCCCAAACCTTGATGTGTGCTAACGAAGGAACCTTCCCTGTCCACATCTCGTGAGGTGTTTTGGAAACCTTTTTAGTTGGGACTAGATTAAGGATATGGGCAGCAGTCTCTAAGGCATACCCCCAGAATGAGATTGGTAACGAAGCTCGACTCATCATAGAACGAACCATGTTTATCAAGGTTCGATTGAGCCTCTCAGCCACACCATTAAGCTGTGGCATCCTAGGTGGCGTCAATTGTGAAACAATTCCACATTCCTTAAGATAGTCATGGAACTCGATACTAAGATACCTTCCTCCTCGATCAGATCGGAGCATCTTTATCTTCCTGCCCAGCTGATTCTCCACTTCTTGTTTAAACTCTTTGAACTTTTCAAAGGTTTCTGACTTATGCTTGATTTAGTATACATATCCATATCTACTATAATCATCAGTAAAAGTCACATAGAAACGGTTAGCATCCCTTGTGGCGGTTCGGAAGGGTTCAGACACATCTGTGTGTATGAGATCCAACAAACCCTCATCCCTTTCACATGAACCAGTGAAGGGTGATTTGGTCATATTTCCAAGCAAACAAGATTCACAAGTGTCATCTGACTTTAAGTCAAATGACTCCAACCCTCCATCCTTTTGGATTTGGGTTATGCGCTTCTTGTTAACATGTCCAAGACGACAATGCCATAAGCATTCTTTATCCAAACCATTAGACGAATCGATATGAAATACATTATTTCCTAAGTTATCTACAACCATCACAGTTTCATATATACCATTAAAAGGTAATGCTTTTGTTGGGTGCAAAGTTATCCATGTATGACTTTGTAAATGGGTTGACTTTTGTTGACCCACTTGCATGTGGTGCATTAACCTTATGACATGAGATAGATAGTGAGAGAGACATGTAAACACCTCTATATAAGGTGGGTTCATACCACTTGTAGAGGTGTGCTTAAGAGATGTAACATTGAGAGTGTTAGTGTGTGTTATTTATGTAGATTTAGATCTAGATCCTTTTTTGTAATAGCTTTCATAATCGAATGCATCTCTTAAACACCGAAATCACTGTTTTCTTTTTGTGTTCTTTAATTCCGCATGCCAAACCAATGTTCATAATTCACTACATTTGGTATCAAAGCGGGTCTTCAAAGATCAACACGATTTGTAAAAGAAACGATTCTCGGTTTGGCAAAATTTGTCACAATTGGAGCATTTATGGTGAGTCTCTCTCTATGATCTCTCTTAATCTCGTTAATTCGTGC